AGGCAGACGGGTCATGAGCCCGCTTCAACAACACCGATATTATCCCACGACCACTGGTCAATCCGTTAGACGTGGGGTTTTAATCCAAAAAACCTTGGTGTTAGTTAGAGTGAGGTAATTCTATTTAAAGGCCTTGTTCTCAAGCCTTTTGGCCGATGTGAGATAGAGGAATTCTAACACTCCCCGCACATGAGATCCCATTTTATGGGTCACACGTGAAGTTCCACACATCAGCAACCACGTGGAGCCAAGTTAGGGCTCACCCGTTCACGCAGGGCCAATGGGGACCCATTCATTCACGTGGCATCTCTTGGCCTACGTGGAGCCAATTCGGGCCTCACCTATTCGCATGGGGTCAAAGGGGATCCACCCGTTCATGTGGATGTACGGGCCAGTCCCTTGGAAATGATACCATCTTAAACTTCAGGTAGACGGGTCATGGGCCCACTCTAACAACACCGATACTGTCCTCACTTGACCACCTGCTCGATCCGTCAGGTGTGAGGTTTTAATACAAAATGCCTCGATAATAGTTAGAGTGGAGTAATTCTATTTAAAGGACTTGTTCTCAAGCCTTCTGGCCGATGTGGGACACATGAATGAATTCTAACACTCACCCGCACGTGAGATCCCATTTTATGGGTCACACGTGAAGTTCCACACATCGACAACCACGTGGAGCCAAGTCAGGGCTCACCCGTTCGTGCGGGGCCAATGAGGACCCACCCAATCATGTGGCAATACGAGCCCGTCACCTGACTTTGATACCATGTAGAATTTTTCAGGTCGATGGGCCGAGGGCCCACTCCAACAACACCGATACTGTTCACACTTTACCACCTGCCAAATCCTCAGATGTGGGGTTTTATCATAAAAGGTATCGGTGTTAGTTACCATCTGCCCAATCCTCAGGTGGCTTTTCTCCTTCCTTCTTGGCCGATGTGGGATAGATAACACTCCCCCCCACGTGAGATCCCATTTTATGGGTCACATACGTAACCACGTGGAGCCAAGCCGGGACTCCCCCATTCGCGCGGGGCCAATGGGGACCCACCCATTGACGTGGCATCTCTTGGCCTACGATGAGCCAAGTCGGGGCTCACCCATTCACGCGGGGCCAAAGGAGACCCACTCATTCACGTGGTAGTACGGGCCCGTTTCCTGGCTCTTATACCATCTTAAATTTCAGGTAGACATGCCATGGATCCACTCCAACAACACTGATATTGTCCCCACTTGGCCACCTGCTCAATCCGTCAGATGTGGGGTTTTAATCCAAAAGGTCTCGGTGTTAGTTAGAGTGGGCTAGTTCTATTTAAATGGCTTGTTCTCAAGCCTTCTAGCCGATGTGGGGAATTCTAACAAATTTTGCTACAAAAGCTGCTGTATTTAATCAATTCTGTAGAGTGTCGTAAGAATTTGCATTACATAAATTGAGTGTATAGAAAGTGTTGGAAGTGAATTTTTATGGTTGTGTAGTAGTTTTGATCAAAATTTGGAAGCAATAACGAGAATTAATCACTCAAAACAACAACAACAATAACAACCAAGCCTTGTCCCACGAAGTGGGTCAGCCGTATGAATCCTAGAACGCTACTGCTCTCGGTTTTGTGCCAAGTCTTCTGTTAGCTCCAGGTACTCCATATGACTGATGCCTAAAACTACGTTTAGTTGTGGTGGTGAAATTTAAAAGCATTGGACAAGGAAAGGCACAAAATCTTTGACACCGGAGGCAGTTCTAGTTGAATATCAGAGAACGCAACGAACAAGATTACAAAATAATAGGAATATTATTAAACTAACGAGAATGCCGAAACGGCTACAAAAAACCCTAACAAGCTACATTATGAATAACTTGATTCTCAAATGAATAACAAGCAGGCTATTTATAATAAACTAACCCTAATCCTAAAAGGTAAGAAATCAAAACTCTAATGCTAACGGGCTAAGCCCAGAAAACTAAGCATTCAAATAAACCTAAATATACTAATATTTTCCAACAGTTCTGAGTTATGGACCGAGATTTTTATAGCTTTGAATGATTCATGTTACTACAAGGGAACCATTGTCCTTTCTTCTGCTTCCGCATTTTGAAGCGTCGAAGGCTTGATATCCATCCTATAAATAGCGCTTATGTTCCAAATGATTCATGCTTCTCCTTTGTGTTTTGATTTTAAAAAAAATCTAAAGAGATGATAGTCTAACAATTTTTTGTGACAGTGGCTCTTTACAACGCCTGATTAGAAGCATCTGCAAGATATTTTTGTGGCTTTCTTAGTCTAAATTCCGTTAACAATTGTTTTTACTAATATGTTGTTCAATCGTGGGTGAAGGCAGATACTCCGTGGAGAACTAGCAGTGGAAACTCCTGCCTCAACAATTTTGGAGAGTAATTTCCTGTTCACCACAAATACTGATCTTCACACAGACATGATACAAATTGTTAACTTTTATGGACCGCTCGAAATTTCTTTAACATGATGTCATTATGTACCTAAATGTTTCATTTGTTATATACTTTTTACTCGGTCGTTGGGAATGATCTTTGTGATATCATCATCTTATTGCAGAGATTTTTGGGAACCATTTGGTTACCGGGGATGTAAAATTCATGAAGAGGCCATATGATTGGGTATCTGCATTCTTGGTTGGACAAAGCTTATTGCTGATTTCTGCTCCAATGGCTCGATCACGTGATATTATTAAACCAAATGCGGTTTATGAGACCGGGGAGTTATTTGAATTAGGAATCCAGCTATCATACTTGCTACTATTGTTAGGTTTTCTTGGGGTTGGAACTTTCTTTGTGATCCGTCAAGTGCTTGTACGTAGAGAACTTGATCTTTCTGCCAAAGAATTGCAGGTATGAGCCTTGCATTTTCCATTATGCACTGTTTTCAACATACTTTGCTCCTGCCTTGACACTTGCTACACATCCTACACTAGACATTAAATTCTTCAATGTTTGTCTGCTGTTATGGACATTTGACAGAGGCTGTCTACAACCGCCAACCGGTTACTCACCTTGTAATGTTTTCTATCGAAATACCAGGAGCAAGTAAGAAGCGGTGATGCTGATGCAACTGAGCTTTTCGAACTTGGAGCAGTGATGCTGAGGAGGAAAATTTATCCTGCTGCTATTAAGTATTTGGTTCAGGCAATTGAGAAATGGGATGGGGACGACCAAGATCTTGCTCAGGTATGATGACTTCTCAGATATATCTGCACTTCTATTGTCTAAACTAAAGCACATCATACTGAATCCAACAAACAGATGGGCCTGGCTTAAGAATTGTGTTATAAAAATACTTGCGACTGTTTAATTGTTGTATTCCAATTGCAATGCTTGCTACTTGGTTCTGTTGTTTGTATTAGTCCTTCCCGGAGTTGCATCTGTTAAAAGAGCGCTAACTTGTCATTCTGAGTAACGCATATTCAGTGCTGTCGTATGATTGTCTCTGTTCGTGTGTTCAGGGTGTCTACACATCCCGAGTTTCATATGTTTTGAACTGTAATCCCATCCACCCTATTAAATCAGATTGTATTTTTCTTTACATCATATGTTTGGGCTTGGATTATGAATTTTCTGATATTGGTTTCCACATTTCATGTATTTGAATAGGTTTACAACGCCCTCGGTGTCAGTTATGTCCGTGAGGGTAAACTTGCTAAGGGAATTACGCAGTTTGAAACTGCCGTGAAGCTTCAACCGGGCTACGTCACAGCTTGGAACAACCTAGGTGATGCTTATGAAAAGAGGAAAGACTTTAAGGCTGCACTGAACGCGTTTGAAGAAGTACTGCTGTTTGATCCGAATAACAAGGTAGCAATACCACGGCGGGAAACTTTGATGCAACAAGTGAAAATGTACAGAGATGTTCCGGTGAAGACGAAGGAGAGATCATCTGACAGTATGCGTTGACGAGGATATTACCAGCAACAGCTTGTGTATGTTTTGCTTGGCATTCTCCGAAACATTCAATGGTTGTTGAGTTATCATTTCGTTTTTTCCACGGGCCAAGATTTAGGCCTGCCTTCGATAGTCACATTTTGTTTTCTCTTGCATCTAAGTCTGTAATTTGATTCGGAAAACTTGATTGTTGCTATCCATACATCCCTTTTTACCTTCAATACACCATTATTTTTTTTTTTTTGTTTTTTTCAATTTATTCGACCTGACGGCCTAAAATTGCATGTATTCAATACAATCTCTATCTGACGATCAGATAATAATTCATGTGATACATGTATTTAATACAATCACCATCTGACTGTGGATAGAGTGATTGTCTTAAATACAGGAGCAAAATCCTAAAATCTTGAATATGCCCCACCAATTTGAAAGGTCAAGATTGTAAACCTAAGGAGATTACCATATAGTAACGTAGTGGCAATAATCCACTTTATAAAAGAGAACTAGTGGAGTTTCGCTTTTAAAATGAAATTTTCTGTGCTACAATGATAGCGTTTTTAGTGGGTTAAATAGTTAGTTATTAGGGAGAAGGAGAATCGGTAAGAATCAAATCTGCATCAGAATGCATAAACATGATTGTTTTTCATTATTTCAACATAAATTAGTCATCCTTAGGAGTTTAGACTGGAAAACACAATGTATTTCAATAAATTCAGATACATTTCAATTTTGTTGTTAACTTGTTTGTAATTTTCGGATTTCAATTTTTGGATGTCGAATTTGATTTAAGGTGCTACAAAGTCGAAAAATATTGGATTGGAAAGCTCAAATCAAAATTTTCAATTCAATTTGCCCCCCTTGTCGAAAACTATCTTCTTTTTTTAAGTGCCTTCAAACTTGAATAATCGCATATTGGCTCTCCAACTTGATTGTAATGTCAGATTGAAACCACTAATTTATGTAAATTTGACCACCAATTTTTATTTCCTGCACACATTCGTCCTTTCAAGTTTTCATGCAAATTGGAAAAAACAGACCACAGTCTACATCTAGTTGGCCAAACAGAACAGTCCCCATGAAGGGAATAGAAACCCAGAAAAATCATAGATATTGACAAGAAATGCAAGCCTATTCACCGGTACGATCATCCAAACGATCATTTTGCCAGTTCGTTGCTACGAAACAACACAACGACAAGGACGAAATGCGTGTAAGAATGTCGGATGCAAGTGACCAGATAAAAATATTATGAGTTTACAGATGACAACCTTTTCCTTAGAAATGAAATATGACTACCAACTGAATTCTATCCTGAGTAGGAGCGAAGAACGAATCGGTTTTGAAGGCGTAGATCTAACTTATCCAATTTAATTTTCTAATGTTGGAGCAAATGAAGATGTTTGCACAATGTTGTTTCTTGTAGTTTAGTCCTGTGTGGCTGTTAATAGTCAGAAAATCTGCAGAGACAGACTGTTAATTCCCCCGTCTTACCAAAAGTTACTTGGTGATGGTATCCTGCTTAATCCCGTCTCCTTCCGAGAAACTGTTCGAGAGAATCGTCTAGACTTGTGTAACTTCATTCTGATAGCCGGAACTCTGCGAGCAACTGCTTGCCATATCATCTGGACAGCATCGCCCTCCCTTGATGGAAACTGAAACTCATAGAATTTCTGAACCTCCTGCAACTTCTTCCACATTCGCGTCCACTCGTCCCTCCCAATGTTCCTGGTGAGGTTTACGAGAAAGTTCTGCTTAAGAGCATCCCTTGTTCGAATAAATATGCAGAACTCAGAGTAGTCAAGCACATCCTCGTACGGAAGTTCAATATCATCACTGATGATGACGGGGACACAGTGGCTAGCAATAGCGTCAAAGAGGCGATTTGATGATGGGGTGTCACCAGCTATGTTGAGGCAGAATTTGGAGGTGTGCATACCCTGGGAGGCCTTGTTGATTCCATCTTTTTGAACACTCCCAAATGTGAAATGAACATCTTTTTCGTCTTGTAGAAGATAGAACAACTCTTGCCGAACAAAGCCACCCTGAACATGTGGAACCGGAAAATCAAGAGCCGTGAGTTAGGAATGAACATACAGCCTAGACCAAAACCGAAAATAAAAGACAGAGGAAGTTAACATGAAAAGAATGAGCAAACATTTTATGTTGCATTCTTTCTGCATAATGCATCTCCTTCACCGTAGCAAACTATACGAACAAGTTAACATGTAACTCTCAAATCCTGAATCGCCTCCACTATGTATGCCATATCCAGTAAAAATAAGAAATTTATACTTGAATCTATGCAACTAAGATTGCTGTCTTGACAACTGCAACATATGCAGATTTAGAACTAGGTCTTATTGATTTTACATCGAAACGCATCTATGTAAAAGGAAATTTCTTTAGAGAGTATCTAGATTTAACCTTGATCTGTTCAGATTTGATAGTCAGCATTAACACATTAGCTTTTCTATGACTGAGCAGATTAAATTTGTCCGGGTAACATCAGAAACAAGAACGAGCAAAATTACATACTTTCCTCCATCAAAGGTTAGAAGAAACAACCAACATAAGTAAATAAAGGAGAGGGAATACGTACATCCTTTCGATATATCGCGCCTTGGAAGTACAGCAAAGTTGGCCGACTATCAAAAGTAGACGAGTCATTCACATAGGATTTGATTACATGCTTGTAGGGAGCAATGACATCTTTCTCCACATTTGCTACGTTTGGAGGATACCTCCCAAAGTCCGAAAGTATGAATGTTGCAGGCCATAGACTCATCCTCGCGTCTAAAAGGCTATTTGGATGGTGAGCCACAATTAAGTGGTCTCTTCCCCCTGACCTCTTCCATTCCCTTTGAGCAGTCACATACTTAACCAGTTTATCTTGCAGCACCTTATTACTGCTTTTCTTCTGGTGCGGGTTTCTCTTGGAGAATCGGTTATAGCTTAAGGAAGAAAAGAACGGTATAAAAATAATGTCAGCTTCGCTAGCATTGCGCACTCTCATTGCAGCACGAGCATTTGGTGGGTTGGGAAGTTCCGAAGCAAGGAGGTCCAGTGTCAGCCAATATTCTATACTGTGTTGCAAATTCAACCCGCCGGGATAAGCAGGTATTTTAGTATGAAAATCTGGCCAAACGCTACGCCCTTGGGGTTTCCAATTCAGGAGTCCGAAATGAAATTCGGGGGGTAAATCGTACATGAACACCTTGAGAACTACTTTCTCATTTGTGTTACATCTGACACCATTGTTAGCTTGGGACGCTTCTTTTTCTTGGGATGAAGATGATGGCTTTTCTTCTTCCTCATTATCCACAAGGATTGCTCGATTCCCAGTTGAGGGTTCGACATCTTTTTGACTCTCACTTCCAGAACTCCTGCTGCCAATAACGGCATTAAGCTTGGAATTGGGTAACAATTTATGGTCAATGAAGCGAGGACTGCCCGTCGAACGCAACACAAAGAACCAAGATAATATGAAGAGTGTTGATGCAACTATAAACAAAAAGAACAAAGATTTTCGAGTAATGACAGCGAGGGACGAAACATTCCTTTCGGCCATTGTAATTCCCATCCCAAGCGATTCAATGAATCATGATACTCAATACCCGAAAAATCGAAAACCATGAAAACCAACGAGAATTAAACTAAATGATTGATGAAACACATCACGGAATCATAAAAAACCGCGGCATTTAGCCGAAAGAATCTAAACACTGATCGGAACAGATTTCCATCAATCATTTCCCAGCACCATCACAAAAATGCAGAAACTTTCAACACCCAGAAGAGAGAAGAAACGCTAAGATTGGTAATCCAATGCAAAATATAGATTGAAGATGGTGAAACTAACCCATGAAAACAGATCTCATTACGCTCTCACACCATTGTTTTCTCTCTCCATTTCGCTACACGGGCTACAATTGAAGAACAAGAACAATACGGAGAGAGAATCAGCTCAGAAAAAGAAAACCCAGATGAAATCAGATGAGAAAAAACAGAAAACCCAGGTGAAATCCAATCAAATGTGATCAAACCCACCAGAAGAAAGCAACCCAGAATCCAGCTGAAGCAGAAGAAGAGGAAACAGAGAGAAATCCAATGTGGGTGCGTTGGTTTGGTAAGGAAGAAAATGGCGTGGATTTCGTACCGTGGATGAAAACCAATCGCCGCGGTTGGTATTTTTGTTGAGTAGGTGACGAATTTGCCAGCTGAGAATTCGAGTTTTTATCTCAGAAGCAAAGGAGTGGGAAGAAGGAAGCGTTGGAATAGGGGGGTCTATCTGTTGAAGCGGGCTCATCTGTTCTCGTAATTTCTATGGACTTTACATAATTTCTAATTTCTTTGTTTTAATTTTTGTATTTTATTTTATAAAAAGTATTGTTATTGCTACTTAAGTTTAACTCAACCATAATTATGTTAATTATGGCAAACAACAAATGTTCTATTTATCAAGGCACGTTATTTTGGAAGAGACTTTTGCTTTCGACTCTTCGATGACGACGATCGATATATTTGATATTTTATTTTAAAAAAGACTTCATTTTTAGTGTAATTTTTCTTTTCGATACATCATATAAATAAGCAAAACAATACTAACGTGAAACTTTCATGAAATCCAAGTTAAGCAAAAAAGAGAGGAATTCACTATAAATGTATCACATTGTATACTAACGGAATGCTCGATCGGCTTATTAAAAAGTAATATACAATGTGTTACGATAACATAACCGATCACCAGTGTACCTCTCTATCCCTCTTGATTACTTGTTTTATTTTGATTTTGATTTTTTAGAATATTAGATGCTTTACTAACTCGATCGGGTAGTTAATTAAAAATAGTGGAGTGTACTTAATCTTTGATCAAATATTATTTGAAAAATAAAATAAACATATTTGTTAACAACTCTCAACAACTACGCACTGGTTGTTCTACTTTTTTTAACATAAAAAACAGCCACGAATTGATGGGTCGCCTTGAAAATAGTGGACATTTTGAGTCAAACTATGCAAATCTGCACGTTGATGCTCAATTGGGATCTACAAATGCAACCAAGCAAATAAATATATTTTCTTAGTTGGAAGAGTAACTGGTTGAAAAAAAATATCTTTCAGTTATTAAGTAGTATAATATAATTGGTTGAAAAAAAAAATTCAAGTAACCAACTATTTTTAGGGAACTTTAACGAAAAGCACCTGGTACTGTTCACTTTAACGAAAAACCACATTTTTACACTAAAAAGTCAATCCTGGTACTATTCACTTTACCCTTTATTTTGTCCTTATCATTAAAACTTAAAGTTTTCAAGCCCTTTTCATTAGTTTTCCTCTATTTTTATTAGGGAACTTTAACGAAAAGTTTCCAGTACTGTTCACTTTACCTTTTATTTTGTCATTTTTGTTAAAATTCAAAGTTTTCAAGTCATTTTCTTTTTTTTATTATGATACTTAATGTACGAGCCAATATTCTCAACACACCAAAACATTTCTCCTTACGTGGAACGAATTTATCATCACATTATCCATTTTTTATGGCATTGTATTATAAGACCGAAATATTGCAACATAAATTCATTCAATGTAAGTCATTTTCAGCCAGTTGGAAGAGGTATATGACTTGGGCTTCCCTTTTTTACCTTTTACTTTGTCATTTTTGTTAAAATTCAAAGTTTTCAAGTCGTTTTCCTTTTTTTATTATGATACTTAGTGTACGAGCCAATATTCTCAACACACCAAAACATTTCTCCTTACGTGGAACGAATTTATCATCACATTATCCATTTTTTATGGCATTGTATTATGAGACCAAAATATTGCAACATAAATTCGTTCAATGTAAGTCATTTTCAGCCAGTTGGAAGGGGTATATGACTTGGGCTTCCCTTTTTTTTTGACCTTGTTAGCAACGATCCCTTTTACCTGATTGATTTTTATTTTTATTTTGTCTAGGCATGGAGAGACTTTGTCAAGTGACATATGCTGTCTCTCACCTTCCTTGACACAAATAACAAGAAGATGATGAACTTAATCAATGATGATAAAACTAGTTTGCTTGGCTACGAGTTAGGAGAGAAAAGTGTATTAATAGCAGTATGATTTTGTAGTAGAGAAATGCTAAGGAAACTCTTTATGGATTATCTGTCATCTTACAGTTTAACGTTAATTTCTATGTCAACTTTACAAAATATGTTGCTAAAAATATAAAGTGACAGAGATTTCATGAAGAGAGTCCCACTTTTGAGAGTCTTGTTAACAAGAGGTTTTTGGTTCAACTCACATTAATATAACAATTACCATGCACATTAATATAACAATTATCACACACACTAGCAAAGAGAGCACACACTTTGTGTGAATGAACAACCTTCAAACTATCCAAAAAATATCATGATTTTACTTACCTGTATGAAAAAATGATTGTGAGACAATTTCTCTTAATAAGTGCATATTTTTATCTTATGTAAATATTTTGATACAAAATTATTATTTTGCCCTCATTTAAATATTGTGTATCAAAAGTGAGGGCAATATAGAAAAAAAAAAGGACAGAAAGTTCAAAATGTACAAAATTACTATTTTACCCTTCTCATGTCAACATTATGTATTAAAAAATAAGGGCAAAATTGAAAAAAAAAGAGCAAAAAGTTGACGAACCTTCTTCTCTTACTAGAATAGATTAGTAACCATTTATGAATTTCGGCAAAAATTAAAATGTTTCTGAGAAGATATGGAGTTGTTAGGTCGACATCACTGGTGTGTTCAATCAAGATTTTTAAGAATTTTAAAAAAGATGAAAAGGGTGCTTAGAGTTGCTTGTATTTGTAGTAAAGTGAATTTATTCCTAGGATTAATCCAAAATTCCGATCCCAAACCATCAGAAACAAGATCCAACATTCCTTCTTGAACCAGAGGAGTCCACTTTAACAATTACAATTGCCATGTAAAAAGTTCCATCCGACTTTTAAAGCAAAGAATGTGCCAATGAATGGAAGTCCTTCGCTCGACCCGCGAAACCTCTGGTTACAGCGTTTGTAGAAGACAGTACAGAACGATCAGAACTGGAACTGCATCTCCGGTGCATATCCAAGTGCTTCAAGGTGACCAGCCATGGCCTTGTTCATCGGGGGCGGACCACACCTCAGAATCTGCAGATTTCCAAGGACAATGTCAGCACTTCGCTTATAACAATACGCTAGCGACTTTTCATATCTAACAGCGCGATAATGGAAACGCGTGTTTGCAAGCTTTTAGATTCACTTACCTGAATATCATGCGCCGGGGCAGGCAATTGCTCTTGAATCATTTCCTTTGAGACAAAGCCAACACCACCATCCCATACTTCCGGAGGCTGTGAAGTACCGGTTTTCAGAGGCAGGAAAAAAAACATAATGGTCGTCAGTCATGGCATACAACATAAGGACTAGGAGTCAACACTAACGAAAAAAAGACGGAATATCATTCACAGTAACGAAATAATAGCATCGAAGCAGAAGATACTGCATGAGAAAGGCAACTAACCTGATTCAAGACGTAGTAAATCTTGAAGCGATCAGGGTAGTTCCTAGCAAGGCCATCCAACTCTTCCTGCAAACAAACAGAAGGAATTCCAATTACACGACTGCAATTCTCAAGTGCCAAACACAATTCCTACTTCCCAGTTCAATGTCAAAGCCGAAAACAAATAGCATCTTCCTAGACTATATACAGATCAAGCATGTAATTCACTGCACATTCAACAAGGCAGGTTATCTAAGTGGGAATTGTATAGTCAACTAAGAAATATCAAATTAAACTGCATTAGTATGTTGGTTCCTGGGTGAAAGAATGGGCCAAAGCAGTGGTAGTATAAATTATCAAATAAACATAAGAAGTAGACAATGCAAAGATGATACGAAACACGATACATGATACAAAGGGGAGAGCAGGATACCTTTAAGAGAATGTCCTCATATGTCACATTGGCATAGAGCAAGTGCACCTTCGTCTTGTCTTTTGGGTTTTCTAATATCGCCCTCGCAACCTACAGTGGACGCAGATAAGGTGAGAATATTCTCCAAGACTAGAGCAACGAAAGAACAAATTGTACTCATATGTGGTAAAACATACATACCTGGAACATTGGCGTGATTCCAGACCCTCCAGCAAGCATCCCAAATGCTCTAACTTGGCCAGGTTGATACTTGAAACGCCCCTGGTAACCATAAAATTTCAGAGATCCAACTTTTGCATGTAGGATTTATATGATTTAAGTGCCAAACACATTTGAATAGCAAATAAAATGTGTACCTTCGGTCCCTTGACAGCAAGATGATCTCCAACACGCATCTCTCGGAAGTGATGTGACATTCTTCCTTGAGGATACATCTGATGCAAAGAAATATCCAATACATGAGACCTTTTTAAAATAACTACATGTACATTTTTCTCTGTTTCCATTTTTCAATAAAGTGAAGGTACAAGTGAATCTCCCTACAAGTTAACAGATAAATACCTTTATAACCAATTCAAAATATCCAACATCAGAATCCAATGTAGTTGGGGTATATGGTTTGATAATCTCTTCTCCTTGCGCATCCTTGCCCCTATTCGACAAAGTATATCACATAAGAAGCTACAATGATACAATCAGGACAAAAAATCATCCAAACTTCCTCTTTATCGATCGGAATTTCCAACAAACATTCAGTGAATCATCCATCATATATCAAATTATCGAAAGCTAAAAGACTCAGAAAAGATGACAATTTAGTAAACAAAGTAAACGAAAAAAAAACCAATATGAATCAATCGTACCTGCAACTTATGTGCTGTCCAATTGGAAGGCCTAAAACTGCTGTAGGTGTTGGAAGTTCAAATTTAAACTTTGCCACATTGTGGCTCAGCTGCGTGCGCTTGACAAGTTTGAAGTCCTTGAAATTCTCCGGATCTAAGTAGACTGTAAACATCCACAATGATGTGAGGCATTTTACACATGTTAATGGTCAATGTTTAGAAAAGGCCACACACACAATGAGTCCACCACCCAGTTTTGCCTTACATTGTTAACACACAAAACTGAAGGAAACTTGAGTAGAAGCTGCCATTTGACTACCGAGAAGGGCAAAAAAGCAAAAACAAGAAGGACTAGAAGTAAAATGGTCAAATCTAGGATTGCTTCAAACTAAACAAAACAGATATTAAAGATAAAAACATTTTCAAACTCTTTAAAAAGATATACAAAACGTTTAAAATAGTCCTGCTTTTCGATGTTTGATTCGTGTATTTACAAAAGGATGAAGAAGGGAAAAAAAGAAGAATTTGAAGATTAAGGCT